AAAGAAGTGAAAATATTAAATAAAAATTGAATTCATTAATATTTTAAAGATGCACTTAGAAAAAAAGATCTTGTTTGCTATATATCAATAGATAAAATTTTGTTAGAAGACACTGATTTGTGGAGACATTTGCTGATATGTCTCTCACATCGAACTGCATGCTAAGTGAAAAAGTTGCTTCCGGAGTTCATCTAGATGATCTAACTTGTTAAGAATTGTCTATTAATAGAATGTCATAAGTTTTTACTGTATCCAAAAAGACCTTTTGCTTCTACCGGGGTGTTCTCAGATTCTAAGCGTTTTCGTCACTTTCTCTATTGCTCAGATTTTTGTCATTAGTCTAACTCGATTTATTCTCTTATAGTGTAATGGGTATCGTAGAAGGTTCCGAATTAATTGAAAAATGTCTCGTTCTTGCATAAATCGAAAAAGAGAATTCTTTAACGTTCTTCATTTTTTCAAGTATCTAGATAATTAACACTGACGCAAATAAATAGATGAGACATTGTAAGAACACAATCATATTTACTATTCACTCAAATTTATGTTTTCGCAAAAAAGAATCAGTTGTCCTGAATAAACGCTTAGAGTTTAAAAGATCGTAAAATAATAGTCGCCGTAAAAGCAAGGATTTTACAAGTAACAAATCTACAGTATTTATTCAAATTTTTATTACGTAAAAAGTAGATTAAGAATTCAGTGATTCAAAAACTGATAATAATCATAGAAAACGAGCACGATAATTCTATATACTGCAAAATATATTTTCATCAACTGATTTAAACTGATGATTTGTGAGGCTAAACAAGCTGAAGATCGACTGACAGAAAAACACGTAGTGGGACAAATATCGTGTTTCATTGTAAGGTGCATCAAAGTCGGAAATTGAGCAGAAAAAAATTGCTTCTATTATTCTATGGTTGGATAGAGCCGGATGAGTAGATCATGAATACCACCTTTTAAATGTTTCGAAGCTTACCTTTTGCTTGAGAAATTTTCAAAATACAAACTTCACCTGAAAAAGTGAATATTTCACGTTTTTTGAGAAAACTCGAAATTTACCTAGTTTAACAATGTTCTAGGTTTCGAAAACTATCATCATCGAATTCAGCATGAAAACCTGAATCTACTGATGTAATTTTGACCAGTAAAAACATAAATTTCATGTTTGATGTGCTCAACTAGGTTCCCATATAGACACCTTGAAATTGATGTCTCGCAAAATCATCAACTATTTTTTTGTTGAAAGCAATTCTTGGACTTTCTTATATGATTCGAACCGTCGAACAATAGCGAACAGAAGTATGCATTCAGTTGTAAAAATACTGTTCTCTCTCTGAGAAAATCGATTTTTACTAGATCGGCGACTATAGGTTAAATAATTGCCCTCTTATTTCTAGGTTTTGATTATCAAAACTTAACTTCCATGCGAAGTAAACATCAGATTGAGAATCAGCACAAAAAACATCAAAATTTTACCTGTGGGGGACTACAGGGTAAAATCAAGAAAAAAATGACTGAGGCGGAAGGAGTAGGCTGGAATTTTGATGAAAATTATTTTTTGATAAAATTTATGATAGTTAATGTAGCTTTTCGTGCTGATTCTGAATCTGATGTTTACTTTGCATGAAAATTGAGTTTTGATAGTCGAAATCTCGAAATAAGAGGGCAATTCTGTAAGCTTTAGTCACCGATCCAGTAAAATTCAATTTCTCAGAGAGAGAACAATATTTTTACAACTGAATATATATGCTTTTGTTTGCTGTTGCTTGGCGGTTCGAATGATGTAAGAAAGTCCAAGAATTGCTTTCAACAAAAGAATAGTTGATGATTTTGCGAGACATCAATTTCAAGGTGTCTATATGGGAACCTAGTTGAGCTCATCAAACATGAAATTTATGTTTTTACTGGTCAACGTTACATCAGTAGATTCAGATTTTCATGCTGAATTCGATGATGATAGTTTTCGAAACCTAGAACATTGTTAAACTAGGTAAATTTCGAGTTTTCTCAAAAAACGTGAAATATTCACTTTTTCAGGTTCAGTTTGTATTTTGAAAATTTCTCAAGCAAAACGTAAGCTTCGAAACATTTAAAAGGTGGTATTCATGATCTACTCATCCGGCTTTATCCAACCATATAATAATAGAAGCAATTTTTTTCTGCTCAATTTCCGACTTTGATGCACCTTATGAATAAGTCATAGAAGAAACACTAGCATGTTAAAAATGAGTATTTGTTCAGTAATTACTTCGAAAATTTTGCAATCATATTTATACACAACGATTATTTTTATAAAGAGAGACCCTTAAAAAAAAGTGAAAATCTTACAAATTGCTTCATCTTCAATAAGTATATTCATGTAAAAACGTAGATTTTCTCTCTCTAAATAGGCATTCATTTGAACAGAATTGAAATGTGATCAAAAATCACAAATTTCAATTCTTATTTTACTCTCCACTATATCTCCTATTCTATTTGATTTACTACAGATTATTTCTAATTTAATTCCATTTACAAAAATATGCAGAGTGAAACCTGCAGCTATATCTGTTAAAGACAAGTACGCGTTTACATATTTTACTCAGTAACTCATCAACGTTGTTCTTTTTATCATTATAGTATGTGTTTCATTGAGAATTGAATAGTTAGAAAAAACTCCTTACTTGTCTTATCTCGAGAAAATTCCGAAGAAAAAAGTGAATCGATTTGTTTTTTGTGTAATTAGAAAGAAAGCAACAGAGCCCATTGTATGCATATGCGTATATAATGAAATGACGACACATCGAATTAGATTAAGTCATGAGAGTATAAATATATATCATAAATATCTTACACATGAATATCAATATTTTATATAGAAGTTCTATCTTGATTGCTTAGAGAAAATAATTATCATCTGGTTCTTTTTTCTATCTCTTTAAATATTTTCTTATTTACATCAATAACCTTCGGAGGAAAAAATAATAAAGAATGTATTTATCATTTATTGTTTTGTTCTTATTATTCAATAAGAATTAACAATCCATTGCTCATATGCATATTTTATTAATGACAATGCAACAACATCATCGTTCTTTCACTACCCACAAGAGATTATACGCTACAATCAATCACGATGTGCGTGACGTTACTAGAAATAGTAGCTAACAAGTTGCCAAATGCGTGCTTATCTGTCTAAAAGAAAAAGAAAAAAAAAAGAAGATGCTAGGTACAATGGCTGAATATCTTTCTTTTTAGGAGAGCTCATTATTATTGTCTGCAGGAAAAGAAGAAAAGCAATTTACTGTAGATAAATGATCATCATGAATGGCAATGAAACATTATTAAAGATGAATGACACAGACATAATGGTAAGTAATTCTGTTTGGTTTCTTCGATAATTATAGTAGAATTTAATTTTCGATTAATATTTTAGACCGATTCAGAATACAAAATAGTGCTCGAAAGCGTGTTAGCCATAGAATAAGATGAGTAATAAAATCTTATTTTCATACAGTCTATTAGAAGGTCTTTAGCGCGTCGTTGATTTAAGAGAGAGGGTACCTTTTTCTATTCTAATATAATCACGAAATATGGCGTGCAAAAAGATTAGTGATCAAGCATGTATAAGAGAAAAACATAAACATATTGGCTTTATGTAGTCAAGGCAACGATGAACTTTATGAATGAGGGGTTATTCACCGATTCGAAGTCAATTATATCACCGAATCATTTCCGAGTAGAGAAAAAAAACAAATAAACTATTGATGAATGAAATAAGACTCTAAGTATGCTTCTTGTTCTTTTTTTTTTTCTTAAATAAAATTCGCATATTATATCTAGATGAAAACGTTGAATTTAATCATAGTTAAATTGCTACATATCGGGATCTTGAGAGGATTGTTTCGAAAAGACGTATCCTCACGAGAACGGAAATTATCAACGACTACATAATGCAATTTTGAATAATTTGTTAGTTGTTTATGAGTATGCATTTTTTATTAGTTAATATATATGTTTATAAATGCCGTGCATTCATTTCTTTTTTCCCTTCTTCTCCTAGCCAATAGAAACGAATAATGAGAGTCTATGCCCATCAAATTATAGTTTCTATACGGCAAGCCTAATTATGAGTTTAAAAATGATTGTGTTCTTTCTTTCTTTCTGTCATTCGACACGTCGATGCGCACAGGTGACTTTTCGTTATTCTAATTGCCTGTTCTGTTCAGGGAGCGCATTGGATCGCATCCGAAAATGTATACAACCAAGGTAAACAGAAAAGCAAAGTTGGTTTCATCTATGTGCACATGTTAAGTCACTGTATATTCTGTCATTTCAGGTTTTCATTTGCTTATATATATATATATATATACAAACGCGCATTACATGTTCCGGTAGACCATTCAGTTTAACATCAATCTCGGCTCAGTTTAAAATTCCGTATTGTTCCCTCGAGAAATATGTCATCTTACTATAAGTAGCAGTAGCGCGGCAATTAATAATTAGCTAGTAAAGGATGATCGGTAACATATACATATATATATATATATGTTTATAATAGTAATTGTAGAGAAGAATCTACAACAAAACTTTTTTTTCAAACAAATTGAAACGAGAGTGAATAATAAGGGAAAAAATGAGGTTAACGCTCTGAAGATTCTCTCTTTTATTAAAAGAAAGAAAAAGAACCGAGCAGACCAATAAAAAGAACATTCTCTCTTTTCTCATTTCTTTTTCTCTCGACAATTATGCCTTAAAGGATAATGCATATTTATCATTGATGATTCAAGCATTTATAGATGTGCATGGTAGTCATTCATATTCGCCTGTAATCCCTAATTTTCATTATCAATAGTGAAAAGCATGTTTTCAAAAATAATTTATGATCATCACCTTAGATGAATTCTTTATTATTCATCATTATTAGCATGAAATTCACTTGGTTTCTAGTGCTATTATTTGAATAAATATATTTTATTTCTGCTAATGCATTTATTTTCTATTTCAGACTTAACAATATGACACGTAATAACCAGAAGTCCGAACCAGCTCCCTTACCAACCGCAGCTAATATTGAAGATCATTTGCCTGGATTACCTGACCTGTCACTTTTTCGAGATGATGAAAAACAGCATATTCTCAATGTTTTATTACGTGATGAAAATCTTCGAAATCAACATCTAAAACGTTTTGTGTATGTAAATTACATTCTTTTTTGAGAATAATCAAACTATATCAACATATATATGTACGATGATAATGATTTTTCAGGCAATTAAAACAAGAAGTAGCAAGTCTTAGAGAAAAATCACAAACAAAATCAAGCTCTATGTGTGCTCGATGTTTAACGCCGTTTGGTTACATATTTAACACAGGTGATACATGTCCGAAGTGTGCTGCAAAAGTTTGTAAACAATGTCGACTCATCTATAATTTAAATGACAATACTTGGTTATGTCAGTTATGTTGTAAACAGATGTAAGTTTATTAGCTGTTATTAAAAATAAAAGAAAAAGTATTCCGACGCCGGGAATCGAACCCGGGCCTCCTGCGTGAAAGGCAGAAATCCTAACCACTAGACCACGTCGGATACATTTATTCTCTAAGTTTAATTTTAGGCAATTGATGAGTTATTCAGGCGAATGGATATATTTACTACAAATATTTACCAATAGTACAAGTCATTCACCAGGAGGTTCACATAAATCATTTCAACTATTTAGTTCTACACAAAGTAGGCGTTCAAAAAAACCAAAAAACTTCTTTTAACATTTAATATTTGTATTGAAATAGATTTAAATGCTGTATCAAGTTCGGATTCTGAACCTGAAGATCTTCTTTCAAAAACACACCACCATAGTCGATTTAATCCTCAGATAGTTGAATCATCAGAAACGAGATCAAATGATCCAACTGCTAGAGTGATGGTTCAAAAGAAATATGATGAGCAAAGACTAGCTTATATTAAACACCGTGTTGAAAAACGACCGAAGAATGCATCAGCTACACAACCATTACCTAGAAAAGCTCATCGACACCCTCTAAGTCCTGACACACGAAATAGTTCATCAGATGAAGGGAATACTTCAGTGAATCAATCGAAAAATCATCTAAATCGTAATTTAGGCAAAGGCAAACCATCACTGTTAAATAGCAAAGATATATTAAAAGCAAACTCAAATCAAAGTCTAAAAACAAGTCGAAATGAAATCGACAACAAATCGATACAATCGTCTCAATTAATTACTCGTGTTAGAAAAGCCGACAAAGATAAACTAAAAGTACCACGACGTCAGCAATCACTTAATCGTAAGTTTGATCTGCAGAGAGAATGATTGTCCTTTTACAGAGAATGTTCAGAATGAAATTTCAATTTTTCAAAGTTTTCTAGATTTTCATTTCCGATCATGCTTTGAGTGAAATGCATTTTTAATTATTTTGGAAGTGTCAAATTCACGTAGAAAGTTTATTTTAATCAGAAAATAATTGCAAAAAAAGAGCGATATAAAGAGAGTCATCAATTAAAAACTTATATTTAATCGGCCATTCTTTCAGCGAGTCAAATTTCTATTAAAAAATGATATATAGTAACTTTGATGAGGACAATCTCAGGAACAACTATGAGTGCTCATTTTATGACGATATTCATTAGTGGAATGTTTCGAATTGCATATTTTTCTTTGGAATAGATAAGTATTCAAAGACAACTATGTGTTAGCTGCACCGTATGAGCATAATCTTTCTAAAGCAATTTTTAATTCTACTTTCTTTAAATCAGCAAATATGAATCGTATTAGTTATTGGCAGTAAAAAGAAGGACAAGTTATTAAACCAAGCATCCTAGTTATTATCTAATATTGAATGTCTACAGTTAGTGTGCTCATTTCATGAGTCGTATGACTATTTATTATTAGACAATAAACAAAATCATTTTCTTTGTATTTTCCGTGTGATTCATACTACTGCTCACATGACTTACGTGATTATTGGCGATCGGATCATGTACGAAAAGTTCAATGTTTAGAATACGAATATATGCATTACTAAAAACGAGTTTGCTTGTGTCTACTGAAAACTATCTCGAATACAACACATTTCCTTTATAAAAATTTATTTAAAGTAAAACTAAATTCAAAGCAATTATCACATACTTTTGTTTCATTCACAATGTACGAGCAGTCTTGTTTCTTTTTTCAATCTATTCATAATTATTCTCGATTCTAAATCAATGAGTACAAGAATACAGAAACAAAATCTTAACAGTTGATAGTTACATAGTAGTAGCTTGCCTTTAAGTCTTTGTGTTTGTCAAATCAAATTAATCTCTTAAACAATAAGCTCGATTTAAATATTTAAGCAGTACGCAAGTATGCATAATCTTTTAATTCGTTTTTTTCATAGGTGGCTCCTTATTAAGCTTAGTATCAAAAACGTCTGAAAAATCATCTAGTAAAAGTATCAGTGCCTCCATGCAAAGTTTACGCAATGCTGTTCATCGTATTTCACATTCAAAAGTATTATCGGGGTCACCTAGTTCGATACATTCGGCAAAAGAAGTAAAACCTGACTTGCTTACTAGTTCAACCTTGAATTATGAAGATGCAGTATCATTACAAGTGCCTGATATTCATAGTAGATCGAGTATGTATTGTTCATATCAATGTATCCGACGTGGTCTAGTGGTTAGGATTTCTGCCTTTCACGCAGGAGGCCCGGGTTCGATTCCCGGCGTCGGAATACCTTTTTTTCTTTTTCTTCTCTTAATGTTGTTTCTTTATTCATGCGCTCCTATAATCTATTGGTTTATTCTTGTTTATAAAACATATTTTTTACGGTTGATAGCCGCGCACGAGATCAAACGCATCGCTTAACCTTATATATATATATATATAAATATATGTAAATGCTTGAATGATTCCTTTTGTAAATATGAATACATATATTACCTGTTGCTTTGATTATCTTCTGTATCGATAATTTAATCGTTACCTGTTTATCATTCGATACGTTTTTTTTTCACCCCGCTCTGTAACTCAATCAATCCTAGCGGACTATAATATTGAGTGCTTTTATAATTTACTTCTATCATTTGCGCAATTATTGCTTTTATCGTGTGATTGCCAAGCTATTGATCAAGACAAAACTACTGCAAGCAAATTATATTGTATTTAAATATCAAGAATGGATTATCGCAATCGGAATCAAGTAAGATACAACAAAAACGTTAAGAAACAATGCTATTTTCTAAGCAAATGGTCTGTAGCAACGTTTTCATATCTCATAAATAGTATCTAATTCGATAGATATGGACAAATATATTCTTCTATGAGAAAGACGAAAATACTTTTTCCTCACGAAACCGCATCTATTAAAACGAAGTGAAAATTATTTATACATTTACTTGTGCACCATAAACGCTTCTACTGCTTTCGACGACTCATCAGTCACACTTGAATAAACAGCGTTTGCTTGACGCCAATTTTCGCAGTACTATAAATAGACACCATTATCGTAGAGCAACGAGAGACGGACAGGCAGATAGAGAGATAGGGTAAAAACGAGTCCTGAGAAAAAACACTATTGAAATGCGAAGAAATTATACTGTACCATATCCCATATTGAGATGTCTATATTGATCAATGTCAACCCTTGAATTGCGCCTTTTTATAGTAAAATGACCAAACTTTATCGTCATTAATAACAAATAAAACTAGTTGAAAAACTGTCGCCATTAACACAATCGAACATGCCAAGTTTCTATCCATCCACAAGACATCGTACACTGATTACTAAACAACTTTCGAACCATGATGATGATGATCCTGATTCGATTTATAAAGAAACATTTATCATAGAAATATTTCAACATTGGAAAGCGAAAGCATTAGAACATCAACATTCAATAGATAATCCTGAAAATCTTCCTGCAGCAAACCATTTCACTCAAGCACTTGCAAGTGAAATTTCATCAACGGAAACACCAACTACCCAGCTGGTACCTTGTGAATCCACTTCAAATAACAATAAAAATGAACCACCAAATGTTATTCAATCACAAACATCGACAGTAGCCATAAAAAAGCGTACATCACCATTACCAACATCAAATACACGTCGAAAAATTCCCACAGAAAAGAATATTATTCCATGTACCGAAGTTGTCAATCCAAATTTACTCGGACCCTCTCCTAAAAATAAACATGGAGCAACAAATGCAACAGTAACAGCAGCTACAACAAAAAAACCTCTTAAAGCCTCAACTATATTTATAGAACCAAAAAAGACACAACCATCACTTCCACCACGTTTATTTAGTTCCTTTCCCCTCGATGAATCTAATCAAACAAAACGAAAGGCTACTGTGGAAAAACAACATTCATTTGACGACGCTCAAATTTTCCATTCGACTTCTCCTACTTGGACACCAAAGTCACATATAATGCCAACGCGTTCTTATGCACATTCACTATATGATGATGAAACATCAAGTGACGAAAGTAATCATGAAAGCTTGTTAATACGAAATAAAAGATATTTAAAAAGAACACCCAGCATCCAAGAAAAACATACACCATTTGATGCTTCTAATCTGGTTATACCAAGCGCTATATACATAATTGATCCGGATGGAAATTCACAACCATTCGATTTGCATGATGATGCCGTGGAAGAATATTTTCGTACGGGAAGAATTGTGGAACATGATTCTGTTGCAACAAGTAAATACTTTTCAAATCTGAATAGCGTGCCTACTTATTCTTCTGTGTTGGTAATTGCTAAAACTCCATCAGTAGAAGAGATTAATTCTAATAGGCATGTTTTACACAGTATTGGCGAAGAAGTAGAAGAAGAAGAATTAGTTAACAAATTTAGTCGTAGTGGCAGTATTTTATCAAGACAACTTAATCGAATTGAAGCTTCTGTAAAATCGCAAAAAATGAAATTCAATACACGTAAAACAGGCACGAATTCGAATCAAACTGAAAATAATCCAATACTATTACCAAGACGTTGGAGTGATTCTGTTGTTAGTGATGAAGATGATGAATATTTACGATTACCACAACGCGCGCTTCCTAAACCATCTAGTGCATCATCTGTTACGAAACAAACAGTAACTTCATCACCTAAACTATCTATTGGTAAATATATTCTTAAGAAGCTGCATTTGATACCATCAACATCAATGAATGATAATTCAAATGCGTATTCACCAACGACCAAGCCACCGCGATTCAAGCGTACTGTACGTCGATCAACAGACAAAAAACGCTATCAAACACAATGAAAAGAAAAACATTTGCTCGATTTTCTCTCTCTCTGTGTCTCTTTCTCTGCTTGTAATTCTACTCTTCGAAGTTTTTTCTTTTATCTTATTTACAACTAAATTTTTACTTGCTCATCCTTGAATTATTTCAATATTTAGATTCTCGTACGAATCTTCAAACACCACAATCATCTGTAGATGAACCGAAGCCGGCAGCGACGGTTAGTCGTCAGAGTTCAGTGAATGAGTTTGTTTTAACAAGCACAACTAAACAACAGTCTACACCAAGTCTTACAAATAAAGATGAATCGCATCAAGTACAGAGTCTTAAAAGCACAGTTAAGCCACAACCAAAACAAAGTTTTACGAATACCTTCGAACCACAGCAAAAGGCAAGTCTTCAAAGCACAACTGAACCATCACGAACATCAAATTTTACAAATAAAATGGAGCTGCAGCAAACACCACGTCTTAAAAACTCAGCTGAACTGCATCAAAGGACAAGTCTTAGAAGCACAGCTGAATCACCACAAACAACAAATCTTACGAACACAACTGAGCCAAGCCAAACATTCAGCCTTACAAATAACACTGACCTGCAACAAAGGACAAGTCTTAGAAGCACAGCTGAACCACCACAAACACCTGATCTTATAAACACAGCTAGACTACAACAAACATCAAGTCTTACCGATACAAAAGATAGTATTGGAAAAGCAAATAATGAAAACAAAGCAGCAAGTATTGAAAATCAGATCACAACTGCTGATCATGATAGAGCGGATGTTCGAGTTGAAAAAAAGAAATTGGTAAGTTGAACATTCATTTCCTCCCCTATCTAGATAGAAAGAGTTCTATAAAGATTTAATGAAAGTAAAATCATTGAAATAAAAACAGTATGCATATTGACTTGTAGGGTTTATCTAAAATTAAATCTTCTTTAACCGATCTTTATGTAAGTGAAAAAATACGAATGCTTCTAATTAACTCTCATAACCGTACTAAATCCGTATATGGGTTGTTGATTTATGCTTTGCCTCTTTAGACTTCACAATCCAGTCTAAATAGTGCATTTGGTGACACAAAATCTCACTATAGTCTTGATATATCTGGCACCATAGAATTAAAACTTCGTTATAATATGAATAAAGGCGCATTAGATGTGTTCATTAAAAAATGTACGGATTTAGCTCGTGTCAAACGAAATCAAGCACCAAATCCGTACGTAAATGAAATTAAATGTTATCGTTTTTTTAAATGAAACAATTTTCTAGATATTGTAAACTTTATTTACTACCCGATAATTCGAAGACTAGCAAACAGAAAACAACTGTTAAAAAGGACACAATAGAACCTGAGTACGACGAAGTATTTTATGTATGTTTTTATCTGTTGTTTTTAATCAATATTCGTTGGACTTCTCTTTAGTATCAATTAAATAATGAAGATTTTAACTCACGTATATTATGGATCTCAGTTTGGAGTCACGCATCACTCGGGTCAAATTATTTTCTCGGTGAAATACATATTCCATTCAACAATTGTATTCTTGATAGATTTGAAGAATATACACTTCTAGCTCGAATGTCTAAAGATAGTGTAATTTATTTTCTAAATTTTCATACAACATGCTTTTATTTTCGTTTCTTCTTTTTCATATAGTTACCACAAACGATTTCACAAACGGATGACTCCAACGAATTGAGTTTTGATTTAACTTTTATTACAAATTCAATGAACATAGAAATAGGAACTTTACAAATCAATGCTATTCAAGGCAAAAATGTTAAGTATGGAAAACATAGTGACATCATATGCAAAGGGTGATTACACAGGCTTTGATTTTTCTTTCATCGAGATTATTCTTGATTTGTTTTATTAATCTAGTGTATTGATGCCTGGTGTCATCAAACGAAAATTAGCCATCTCACGTAAAGGACCATCACCGAAATGGGATATTCCATTACGATGGGAAAATTTATCACGGAATAATTTGAAAAATATATCTATTGAAATAAGTTTATGGCGTCAAGAACGTTTTCGAAAAACAATGATGAGTTTTGTTAGACTTACTGCAACTCACGTACAATTTGATGATAAATTTTCTAAATCGTTCGATAGTACGGACGCAGAAAAATTTGCTTGGGATTTATTTCTGCAAAAGCCGACTCAAACACATCATATTCAACTTCCATTACGACCAGCAACTAATTGAACACAAATAAAACTTTAGCTGTATTTTTTTTTAATGTTGGTGCTGAATTCTTATTTCCAAATTTCATATTAATGAACATATCGAATTCTACGCTTTTCTTATATTTTTGTCTTACTGAAGGTGCTTCTATTTTGTTCAATAAATTTTACAAAAAAAAGCAATAGAAACGAATTTTTCACTTTTAAAAATATTCTTTTAGAGTACAACAAATTTTAATGACTGTTATTAGTATTGATCGTCTGATCTAATATATAATTTGAATTGAAATTTAAACATATATTACCTGTTTCTAGATACTCATATGCAGTTGTGAACTGTACATAGTCAACCGTTGATATATTATATCGTACGACTGATTGCTAAATCAGCTAATTGTAATAGGCTTCTAAAAAATGATTCTTTTCGTTTTGGCTACGAAATTTTACAACAATTGATAAAAATCTAAGCCATATATATAATTCCCTGAACGACACGTTATGAAAAACAATTTAATTGAAGTATTCCAAGGATTCATCACAAAGTCCAGTTTTTACCGGTTTGTACGCATACAGGATTATGAGTGTGGTACACTTTTGTGCAAGTTCTTCTAACACACATACAACCTGTGACGAGAATGTGAATACGTTATTATAAAACAAATGTTATCTACTGGTTGCACTTAGTATTTGATATATCACTTTCAATTTTATCGAATGCACTCGAATAAGAATGACTTCTTACTATAAATCTGTAGAAATTACTTGAAAATATTTATTACGCTGAAAAACCGTTTTCATGCCGTCTGTCAAAACGAAAAAGAACTGATTTTCTGTGCAATAGCGCCATCTTTAAATACCTATTCTATATTTCTATATAGTAGAAAATATTTTAAAAGGTTCTTATTTTACATGAAGATTTCCACTAAAAATTATTCTCGGGTAGAATATTATATTGGTGGACTTCACCTATCAGCATGACTCACGATGAATGAGAAATATTGTCCATGATAAATGTTTGCTCATTCATACCGTCATCCACTTGTTTTCGTTGCTGACTGACTTATTACTCATATATATATATATTCTCACACAGAGAGCTAGAAGGTTAAAAATGAAGCAATAGATTTTTTTAAAGTATAGGTGTTTTGTGAGAGAATTATTATTATTCCTACTGTTGTATACAGTGTTGTTAATGATTAGTGTACCCCAGCAGAGCAAAGTGTACGTACAATCTGTTTTTTGAGAATACAATTTGTTTTCTTATGAAGTACACTCTGAAAATAAAATTTTTGGTTTAGCAGGGTGTACGCGTACACTGTGCTTCGAAATCCTATTAAAAATACTGCTTAGGAAATTCATTTATCATCATAGTTTTAGTGTAAGAATATGTAGAAACAATTTTGAGGTAAATTTACATACGGTATCACAAGAGTTTCTCTTCTATAAGATTATTATTCGCTTTTTCTTTTTATGAAATTTCATATATATCAATAAATGGATAATAATATGAAATAAGTGAAAAATTACTCAAATATCGTATAAGAATACAAATATTACGAGATGAACATCAGCTGGAATATTATATATATAGGGAGTAGATATATTCGAAAAATGAATTTTCAACTAGCGAGTGACTTACTTCGTATGTTACAACCTAATTTAAGACTTCATTTCAATTAGTTGCACAACTAAAAGAAGATGTTTAAAAATCAAGCTATGCTAAAGAATTTAATTTTAATCTGTTTTACTCTCGTTTCACTGCAACTCGTTTGATATTTTGATTTCATATTGGATCACAATATTTATATGTTTATCCTTTTTTATTTATTAGATTTAATACATTATCATCATCATCATCATCCTTCAATAATGGATAAAATAAAAGAATTATTTCATACGAAAACACCAAAAGAAATAATGCAAGAAAACAAACGAGCTATTCGACGAGCAAGACGTGAACTTGAACGTGAAAAAAATCGATTAAACAATGAAAAAACTCGTAGTGAAAATGAAATACGTAAATTAGCAGCTAAAGGCGAACAAGTATTATTATTTTCTTATTCTAATGATTTTCATTTTACTTTTTTTAATCTTGAATAGAAAGCATTACGAACATATGCGAAAAATATCGTCAATCAACGAAATCAAATAAATAAATTAGGTGCTATGGATGCAACATTATCAACACTAGAATCTGAAGCATCATCAATGAATGCCCAAATGACGATGGCTAGTGTTATGGTTAAAACAACAAAAACATTAGCCAGATTAAATAAAATGGTTTGTTTATTTGATTTATATCGAACGAGTTCTTATTCCTTGTTGTGAAAGATAATCTGAAAATCGAAGAATACGAGTTGAAATTTTGAATTCCTTCGAAAACCTTTTCTAATTCAAAAACTATTTTACTTCTTATATTTCTAAGGAAATAAGTAAAAAAAAAAGGGATGTCCCTATCAATAGCGACATCGTATCTAACATTTCATGTCCACAGGACTTCGCATAGCCATTTCTACTTTACTATGTAGATGCCACTACAAGATTTTCAAAAAACCATGCAAATGTTTGAACAAAATATGACAACTAATAGTATCAAACAAGAAATGATGAATGATGCCATGGATGCTGCTTTTGAAGGAGATGATGACGAAGAAGAAACGTAAGAAAAATGATTCAACTAGATAAAAAAAGTATTAATATTATCGATATTTTAGTGAAGAACTCGTTGATCAAGTACTTAACGAACTTAATATAACGATGGCTAATCAAATACCTGGTAAGTCAATACAATAAAACCTTTAAAAAATACCATAGTTTCTTTCTATTTTTTTAGCTGCACAAAATGGGGCTTTAGGTGGTCGGGTTGCTAATCCAGCACAACCTCAAACAGCAATGTCCACAGCAGATGCTGATTTGGAAGCTCGTTTGGACAATTTACGTAGAAATTAAATAAATATTATTTGTACAGAAAAAACAAATAACGTGCTTATGATATCATTTATTCTTTTTTTGCTCGTACTTTTATTTTGAATTATTGAAGAAAAAAATTTTTTTTTCTATTATTTGTATATTTACTACTTTAAAAAAAAACAACAACAAATATAACCTACAATGCAATAATTATGCAAGTAAATGCTGGTGCCTGACATATCCGAATGGAAAATTCCACAAGCAGTTTCTAAAACATTATATTTAATAGTGAGCCGGAGTTTTGCGTAAGACAGTAAAATTTAAACGTTCTATCTTTCTGAATATCCAGGATAACTAATATTTTTCTTATATTTGATATCAATATTTGGATAATTCCACATTTCAATCGCTAATTAAAACTTATTTTATCCATTTGGCTTGAACCTTAATGAATCAAACTTCTAGAGTTACTTGAAATTTATATATCTCGTTTCAAAGCATTCAAACGAATGTCTGACTAAAATATAGACTAATTCCTTAGCAAAATAAGTACTTTTTGAAGTCTATTACCTTGAGGCACATAGTAAATTATATTTTAATTTGCTCTAGTTATGAGTGACGAATTTTGTTTTACTAACAGCTTGCGTACGAATACAGCAGGTCTCGATATATGCGTGACTAAGTATATCCGTTGTTTTTTTGTTATTGCACAATTAGAAGGTAACATTACCTAAACGAAGAGAAAAACATAAAACAGTCAAAAAAGAAAAGGATGAAAAAGAATCAGACAGCTCCGCATGACGACTAACAAGCAACAACAAGAGGAGGAATTGCTTATACTGAAATCAATTTTAGGCGATGCCATCGTTGATTTAGACAATGATAATATTCAATTCGAAATTGACGTTGAATTTCAATTAGCGACACCATTTTATTTAAATCTCATTCATGATTCTAATCACTTATCGACATTAATTCAAAATCTTCCACCATTAATTTTAACGATACATTTTCATGATGAGTATCCATCATCACAAGATTCTCCAACATTTGTTCTGTCATCTTGTTATTTATCATGTGAATTTCTTCAAAAGATGTGCCAAAAATTAGATGAAGTATGGGAACAAAATCTAGGCCAACCAATTGTTTATCAATGGATCGAATGTCTTAAAGAAGAATTTTCATTAATCCATGAACTCTGCTTATCAAATCAGGATGTTTATGAACGAGACATTAGCGATGATGAGCCAAGAGCTATGTCCACTTATCAATCGGATCAGGCTCCACATGTCTATGAACAATTAATAGAATACAATCAAATAAAAGAATTCGAAAAATTTCTTCATGGCTATCATGAATGTTCTATTTGTATGTCGAACAATATACCTGGACGTGATATGATACGATTGTATAAATGTAATCATGCATTCTGTCGAAATTGTCTACATGATTATGCTCAAATTCATATTAATACAGGCTCAGTCGAATGGTTATATTGTCCTGATTCTCAATGTCAATTATCATTGTTACCAGCTGAAATAAAACTAAGTGTGAACGATGATCGATTATATTATAAATATGAACAATTATTATTACAAAAAACTCTTGAACAAATGCAAGATATTTTTTGGTGTCCAAGGTTATTTAAAATAGTTTTCTTTTGAAATATCAATGTAGGATGTTTATTCCTTTTTCTTATTTTAGATGTCAACACCCAGTTTTAACTGGCAATGAAAAAGATAATCTAGCATTGTGCGATCAATGTCGTTTTGCATTCTGTAAAAAATGTAAAAAAACATATCATTCTCAAACGTTATGTGGTCATGAAGCTGAACTAGCTGAATTAAAACGAAAACGTCGTAAATTACGTGATCAACTGCAAGATCTCAATATGGTACCGGATGATGAAGAAAAACTTATTCGTGAATTTCTTGCTATTGCAAGAATCGAAAATTCGACAAGACTTTGTCCAAATCCACTGTGTCAAGTACCAATTGAAAAAAATCTTGGGTGTGATCATATGTATTGTATTCGTTGTCGGAAACCTTTCAATTGGAGTGAAGCCGCAGATCAAACAACAGACACTAAAGTCCTATTTGAAAAATACGAAAGCGACATTAATAAAATGCAGAAGGCATTACAAGATGAGAAAAGCAATCGTGAAGATAGCGATGAAAACATGTTATTGCAAGAGCCAACAATTGGCAAGCTAATGATGAAACGAATCAAAAAGTGTCCAAATACAAAATGTGGGAAAATCTGCATAAAATATGGTAATAATAATTATCTTATTTGTGAACATTGTAAGCGAAGTTTTTGTTTTTCATGTGATAACTCTATAATCAATCCTAAACAGCATTTTGGTGTTAAATGCAAAAGACAGTCGACTGTTTAGTATTAAGAAAAAGAAATTTAAAAAAATAAAATCAAGCAGTAGCATGTTTATTGATTATAATGGAATTGTTTGCATTACAGATTTGTAATAGGATCATGTTCGTTATCGATCAATGGATTGTTATTTAAACTAGCCTTCAAGTCGGAAGGACTGCTTTCTGGATGTGCTTCATCAGGTATTAAACCAAAAAATTGTATTCGTTTATTGCCAGCGTCACTAACAATAGCAGTTCCATCGGTTCTTATATCTAAACCACATGGACGTTTTAACTGGCCAGCTTGATCACCTTCTGTACCAAAACTTGTTAAATAACTGCCATCAGGTGTGCAAATAACAATACGATGATGACCTGTATCAGAGATAAATATACGATCATGATAATCTACAGCTAGACCAGACGCATTTTCAAGACCTAATCCATTTGTATCGGTGATAACTAATGGTGTGACATATATTGGTCTAAATCATATATTGAAAAAAAATAGAGAGAGAGAGATAAATGTGTGCAAATAAATCAGTATTATCCGTACCCATTCGCATCTTTTGGAATAAAACACATGACATCACCAGTGCCAGTAATGCAAACTATTTGACCTGCGTTTTGTTGATGAGCAATACGAATTGGTTCTAACGGATAGTCTTTTGCGCCATATAAAAATAATTCAATTACTCGTTCACATACACCATCAGGTGAAATCACTTGGATACGATTATTTCCTCGATCACAAACATATAAATATCCATCGGTCATATCAATAGCAATACCAGCTGGATGAAAAAATTGATGTATTTGACTACCTTCGGTACCTAATTTAAATCTTTTATAGGAGAAAAGATTTGCTCCGTCAGGTGAATTCATATGAAGACAATGACTAAAATGACTTGCAGTAATAATAGTTCCATCACAACTAACAGCTATGGCTGTCGGTTGAAATTTACTCATGATTGCATCATTGAGTGAATGCTCAAATGTTCCATTCATGTCAAAAATTTCAACAATGCTGCGACCGACATCACATAAGTATATTAGATTTTTCTCATGATTAATAGAAACATCAACTGGTTGTGTTTGATCTTTTGCTTGAAGTTTTATAGATTTTGTACGTGCTTTATCCGAATATCGCTCTTTTAGTGCTAAATCATCAGCAGTTAATTCATATTTAAATGGGCTTGAACCGATAGGACCGGGCATTCGATCGTATTGAAAATTTTCACTAGGCGCATGGGCTACAGGTGAAGAGGGTGGTTGTTTGTAAAATTTGCCTAAGGCAGGAAATCGTTGAACCAAACGATCGATTTTAGCCTATAACGCCATATATATATATATATATATATATTGAAAAAGTTAGCTTGGTAATTTAAATTGAAAAAGAAACAACACTCACTGACAATCCTTTCTTCTTATGTGGCTGTTCATAATATTCATCTTGATAGTAAGATGCTTCTTGTTGTTGTTCTTCGTCTACATACTCATCATCTAGATATAAATGGAAAATATCGATTTGATGAAAGTTAAAGTATATTTTTCGTTCAAGAAAATATAGTGAGTGTAAGTTTTGAAATCGAAATTTTGTTTTGTCTGTTTACTCTCTCAATCACAATGCTTTAGAAAAAGATTATTTATTGAGAACGTTTCTAGAGCACAAAAGCAGATATAAAATTTCGTATAGGTAATGGAAATATTTGTAATTTTGAAATAAGAGAAAGAAGTAAAAAAGTGTAGAAGTAATATATAAATAGAGTTGCCCTCGTAGCAGTGTAGTAATGTTCAATGAAAGTAAAAGCAAATGTCTACGAAGTCTAAACTGCAGTTCCGAACTGACTGTGCTAGTGAGTTTTGTTTTCTTTGGATACTTGCCTCCATAACCTTCCGCTGAATCTTGAGCATAGTTTCCAAAAGAATCTTCTCGAGTTTCCCAATAGGGCTTAGTTTTCGGATCAATAACTCTGACTTGTTGAGGCTGATGTAATGATCCCTCTGGCGATGATTGTCGCGCGTTTACACTATATGGATAGTTTTCTTGACGAGGAATTTTATTTGCATTATTACTTAAATTTGCCGATCTATTTGAAGGGACTTGATAGTTTTGCGCACTGTATGAGTTAGCTTGCTCGCTCGAACCGTTTGATGATTGACGTGTCCAAGCACTTGAAACTGCAGAACGAGATTGAGCATTAACAACATTTGATGTACTCTTATTTACTTGTTCTACACATACAAAAAAAATATGAATACAATTATGTTTTTATCAGAACACAAAAATGCTTCATTCAAACGTACGCAGTGAACCTTCAACTTCTTTACTAGCTGCATTCTTCAATGGATCAAAACTATCGGCCATGTTGAATATGGGATGCTCTTTTTCAATCAAAAATCGTTATATATATATATATATATATATATGGATGGATGGATGAATGCATGTACAACCAAGAAATGTCATGCGCGTCTACTGATTTACATCATACCAATGTGTATTGATATTACACCATTTTGATTTGTCGATACAGCTGAATGCACAAAATTTTTTTCTTGTTTGAAGGTAGCAAATGAAAGCTGTTACCTATTACAATTTTTTCTTCGTAGGGATTCATCAGAATAATAGTACATTATGTCCCGTATATCACCAACAGCAGCAGTTTCAAATGTATGGTCTAGAGCTGCGGCTTCTACAGTAACGGATCCTACGCTTCAAAATGGTAGAAATCCAACTGGACTACCTATAGTAAATAATCCGAATTTTCCAACGTCGACAACAGGAAATTTTGGTAATTCAGCACCCGCTGCACCATTTTCATCTATGCAACTACCATTAGGTCCTGCAAATAGTCTTGGTTCAAATTTGTATGCTACAGCTCATACATCATCTTCATTTTATCCAAATTCAACAAATTTAGTAGGTAATTTACTCTGAAAAAAATTCATCTTAACTATTATATTAAAAAAATCTAAGGTACAAAGTCCAGCAGAAAGTGCTCAAAATGATGCAAACAATCGACGATTGACGCAACTTGAAGATGAAAGTGTACAGCGAAGTTACTCTGTAAGTATATATATTCGATCAAGACCAATATATATAGTATTTTGCTTTATTTTAGGCAAAAAGTGTTCAACAAATTGGTGCACAATTATTACAAAGTCAGATGGATGTACAGGAACAAGTATTACAATATCAATTTGTAATTATTCATCTATTCTTGTTTTTCTCCCTATTGATATTTACTAGACTAGAAATTTTAGATGTTAGAACAATGTATGGAAACTCTTGATTATCAAAATTTCATTTTAAATGGACAAGCTGAAGAGTTAACATTCCTTCGACGTAGATTGCATCAGTGTGAAAATATTATGAATACAATTAAACAAATGAAAAGTAACGTCTATTCTGAATAGCAAATAATTTAATAAAAATCTCATTTTCAGAAAATAATCCTCTTCAACAAAAAGGATTCAAAGATTCGAATCAGTTCGATATTAACGTTTCCAATATTCGAAATCCTTTGTATGTTTTAATTTGTACTAATTTTTTTCTTCTATATTCATTTAATCGTTTGACAAGGCCATTGCGTGAAAAATCTAATTTACCTATTTTCAATGGAAGTGCAAATTCATCGCAATTTCAACCTACCAATCAACGATATCAATCGATCAAGGATCGGTCTTCAAATCAAAATAGATCTCAAAATATGACACCATCGTTTCCGAATATATTCAATGGTAATGCGCAAATTACAAATCCTCTTAGTATTTTCAGTAATTGATCGTATTCTCTTGTTTCTCTCGTCTGATACAAAAAACAATTCAGATATATTAATAAAAATAATCTCGAAACAAAATTTCAATTCACTATCTATTCTAATGTGTCACACTTGAGTAGTTATATATGTTCTTGAAGATGTTGGATCGAAAACTTCGCTTGTATGCTGATATATAATATCTGATGCTTGGTGTGTTGTTGGTACGTTTTCATTTTCTGTTATAATTCGCCGTTTTAACAAACGATGTAAATGTCTATAGGCATCGGCACGATGACTTTTTTGTTGTCGAATAATAAGCCATACACAAATAATTAATACAGGTAATATTAAAATATAATATATTCGATAACGAAAAAAATTTGATAATTGACTTTTTCGCTTTGATATTTGTTGCTCATAGAAATGAGATACATTATAATATGTACCATATATTGTTATACCTTCATCGGGTAATATATCACATTGTAGTAGACGTTTTTCAAAATGACAGATACGTTCTTCTTGTGTTAAAATATATAAACTTGAATTTGAATAACAATAAGGTGTTACTGACATGAAAGATTTATCTAGATGACGATATAAATATCGAAGTGTACACGAACAATCGCTTAGATTTTTCGAAAATTGAACAATAGTTTTTAAATTTGTTGATGGTGAAAATTGAACAAACGTGCAAAAATGTTTGTCATCATTTAATTCGAAATTATTACTCTGATTAAATAGTAAAATATTTGTATTCATATTAACAAATGCAAACGGATCAACATGGTGAATATTTTCACCAAGATTTAATTCTTTTAAATGATTTAAATTATAAAACGCATTATTTTCAATTCGAACGATTCCATTTATTGTTAAATATTCTAATTGACTGAAATGTTCGAACATTCGAGAAACAATATTTTGAATTGACCGTGAATATATTTTCAATGATTTTACTTGTGGAAAACAGTGAGCTAACTCACGATTATTGAACGAACGAAAGCCACTATTGACATTGTAATTTTCCAATGTTAATTCTTGTACTGAATTAAAAATAATAGGAAAATGTTTACCTTGTAATTGTCGAACACTAATGTCTTTTATTGAAATTTTATAAATTTGAAAACCAAACGACGCTTTCGAATTTGACGATGGAAGAAAACCAGGAAAAGATGGATTTTCAATAATTAAATGATGAATAGAAACTGCCTGATAAAAAAAATCAATCGGGATTTGCGGATTAGTATTAAATAGTTTTAATTCATAACAACTAATTTTTGAAAGTGCTCCATTAGCATAATAAAGTGATGGTGAATTAAGAAATGAGACGCTCAGTTGATTCTGAGAATCGGACACACTTAGCTCCTCAAAAATACCTGAACAAAAGTAACAACATTAAAATAAGAACGCTTATAATAAAGAGAAATGAAAGTCGATGATTAGAAGACAACTAACCTGATTCAGTACTTTTGACATTAACAAATACGATCACATTACGATTGTTTGCTTTATGTGTTTGCTTAACACTTTGAGTTTCAAAATGAACAAAATGAAATGCTTTCGTTGGTATACTCGGATAATTTGCGAATGTTAATGTACGGAAGCGATAATAAAAATATTTCAATTGTTCAAATGTTGCTGTTTTATTGTCGTGTAAATGATCGTTTGAGTGTGTACAAAATAGATCTTGATTTAACGATGATTGAGGTTTAGATAAATAACTTGTATCGATAAGTGCGAAAAGAGGAAAATTAGTACATTTGCACATGGTTAAAAATTGACACTCATTTCCGTTGACATTTAATAATCCTGAGAAGATATTAAGACAGAATAGAAGAAAAAAATAGAAGAACATTGCATTAGTATGTTCACCATCAATTAACATGTGTCAGCACTAATGAGAAAGTATCTACAAAACGAAAGAATAACAGCATGTATAAAGATTGAGTGTGTATTTGTTCTCTCTTTCGGCGTCTTTTTGCACAGTTAGAATATTCAGTCAAAATAATTGATAGTCACGACTATATGTTGATAGGCACAGAGTTATTAGTGAAAGGAGGTGCCACGAGTCTCAAGGACTCATGTATACAGATGAATAAGCTTATGAAGAGAAGGATCTTCTTGTTAAATCTTAACAAGGACGTTATTATACCCAATCCTCAAGGAAATGAAAACGTACGGAACCATTAGTCTTATACGGCTATTGTCGGGACGATTATTTGCCCATTCCATTTAAAAAAGAGAAAAAGAAAGAAACATACTCCCGACTCTCTTTCTCATATGTTGAGCAAATTTTCTTCAGGCGGTTTATGCCGTAATCATGTTTCCTTAACCATATTTTCTCTCTTTCTCTTCTCTATACTGCTCGTATGTCTTCGTCTTTTTCTTCTTCTTCTTCTTCTTCTTCATGCCTTTCTTTCCTCTTCTGTATCAATAACCGCGTCAATGAAATTTGTTAATGTTGAACGTTGTCACAGTTATCATCATGAGCATCATCATAACTACATATTAGTATGTATGCAGTAAAACCGGCAAAGAAAATAGGCTAATTTGCTCTTACTTGAGCGCTCACTTATGCATTGATCTTATGCATATATTTGAACGCGCGTTTGTATACATAGACGCTTATACTTTTTTTCTTATACGTGCTTATATTCGCTTTTGAAAACGAGATTTCATAAAAAGTCATTTTTATATTAGTATTCCACTGTTACATCACATAAAAATGCTAAAGATTCCTTCTTTCTTCATTTTACTCGACGAATAAAAAGAATATTGTGTTTTTCTAGTCAAGGACTCAACGCATCCGGTGTTAATGTGTATATGTGTCTTAGCCCATAATTAAATGTGATTACCAAGACAGATGGATGAGTTAGTAAGTCTTAATCATTTTCCTGGAATTTTGGATGAAAGCAAGAGGAGTTATTGTTGCAAGGTCATTGAAAAAATGTTAACAATGATTGTAATGTACCGTATAATTGTAGCAAAACTACTGTTTGCCATACATATCGATGGTCAGGACGATAAAACTACATAATGTAAGAACCATATGAGACAATGAACATGCTGTTCTGTCGTATACTCATTAGAAGCATTTCTTTTCTCTAGGCAAACAACGTACTGCAGTGCGACTACCAAGGGAAGAGATGAGTCGCGTATTCAAGAAGATTTACGTAATTTCCTGTAATCGCTGTCAGAAGTGACAATAGAATATAAGTTTAATGCATGATGCGATCCAGGATATTAAACTCGTTATTAACAATTTCAATTTTCGTTTCTATTCACAATTTCATGATGCATCTATTCGATATCGAAAAAGTTCTTCTTTAAGTTATGTTTTCTTCATTGATCTAGAATATGAATATTAAAAAGATCAAGTCGAATCGTACAAATGCAGTGAGAAACATATTTGACATGGATGGTTTACAAAACAAAATAAAGAATCAAGTCATCAATCATTGGTTGCTTAACAACTAAAATATTAGTAATAAAAATTATATGATTATGTCGAATTTCGATTGCGAATTAGACGAAATATGATCCACATTTGAGATTAGTTGGTTCTCATTTTTTGACTTCTTCTGAAAACTAGTTCAAACTTTGTCTTTGAAAAAGAAGTATTAGTAAGCCAATCAAATTTATTACAATTTTTTTTCACAGAGCAACAAGATTGTATCAAATTTCATACAACAATATTAGTTAAAAAAAGTTGACCCATGGCAATATGTATTTAGAAATCATTTGACAAAGCAGAAAATCTGAACATTACATTTTGATAATGAATAGCCATAAAGATTTTCTTTTATTAGCTATCAATTTGTGTTCAGAAGATAATTCATACAGTGTCATGATATGTAGTTATTTTATCTATTTTTTAAGAAATGAATTCTTCACCAATAATATTTACCTGACTCCCTGTATAAAATAATATATGTGCCGGTGGTCTGACACTAATGTCAATACCATCATGAACGTAAGCTGGTATTGACAGTGCACAAGACAATTACGTTGAATTAATGAAGAAGAAGATCTGATAAATTTACTTACTTAAAAAATGAAAATAAAAAGTGAAGAATTGATGAAGATAATTCACTTTCATCTAGCTTCTACAATAGTTTACCAAGTAAATAATCGATATTTCTTATGCAAAATGCTGCTGGTGTTCTTTTTACTCGTGATTGACGGGAAGAAAAATGTCTAACGTGGTGGAATTGTTGTCGAGGTCCTCTTTACTGGCCTTCAAGATCTTTCGATTTGACAGTGTAAATCTTAACTCTTTTTTTTAGATTTCGAATATTTGAATTTTAAGTTCCTCTATATTTGTTTTTGTTTATTTATTTCATTTTAATTCGTGGAACAATCTTTGCTTTGACTTTCTATTGCTCCTATTTGAAAAAATGATTTGAGATACTTATGAGCTATTGCCTAACACGTTTGTAGTCCATAATAGGCGACACATCCTTACTTCGATAGATCTTATCAGTTCAGAACACGGTTTTAATGGGCATAAGAGGAAAATATTTACATTTCGCATCGCCTAATTATTTCTGGGCCATCTTGAGTATAAGTTGTGCAAGTTACAAGCTCTTCTTTTGTTTTGTCGGTCATTTGTCGAATGGTATCATTCCTGTAAAACAATTGTTGATGCGATCCAACGTCGTCCAGTGTTGTACGTCGCATATAACAACTAATCATTTCATAAGCAACTATAACGAGGTAGCGTTTACAAGGAAATATATCGAGTATGTTCGCAACAGAATTCAATAAAATACTCATCAATATGATTAGTAGTAGACCTGTTAATAGGTTGGTGAAATTTCACGACGTGGAACAATTAACACAAGAAATGTTCAACACAAAAATGTTTACTATCAAAGCAAAATTAGTTCATACATAGAATCTATCGACTATAGAGACAAAATCAGCTGAGGTCTAGTTGAACTGGAACATATAATAGAAATAAAGAAAGAAGAGAATAAAATGCTATAAGCAATTCAGTAGTCGTAAGTTTGTGCGACATGGTAATAGATTTGGACGATCCTCATAAACATGTGAATTCTCTTGTTAAATTTCTTCCATACAGAATCTCAATTTCGTGTATTCACACACCACACCAAACTGTTAATCAACTCTAATAAATTTACTTCGATCGATCTTTTTAATATTAGTGACCCGTTTATACATAGCAACATGTTTTGAAGTCGAGATGAAAAATTCTAAGGGTAAGTTTGAGTTCATGTTTCGATATATATGAGATGCAAGATTGTGTTAGCATATTAGAAAAACTCGACTTTTGATGGGACTAATAATTACATGCTTTGCTTTGGTTCACACTTGTTCGAAATTGAAGAAGAAAAAGATAATTTGTTCGATGAGCACGTTAATTTTGATATTTTAAACACAAAGATGCAAGACTTACGTAATGAGTTTTAGTAGATTATAGCAAATGAACAATGACTACTCATAAGTAACTTTGCTTTGCTGTCCGGATGAGAAAATTTTAATTGGCTAACTAAATAGTCGACAAAAAGTCTTGATAACGAAGTTGTTTCCACTCCGATTAGCCCAGAAATAAGCTTTCTAACGTATGATGCACTATAATTATTTTTTGATGCAAATGCAGCAGCACCACAAGCAAGATGTTCATCGATAGTTGCACGTGTCATTCTTTTCGCAATTTACACGAGACGCCACAGGAGAAAATTAATATTATAACTAATTGATGCACAACAGCCATATATCACGCATGCATTAAACTAATATTCGTACTTCAACTAGATAGAAATTTATAAAAGCAACACAGAAAGATTGTCTTTATAAGAATGTCGAGTATTTGATTACACGCTCAACCATATATTTATTTACTATCAACACTATAGAACACATACTGGCGTGATTCAGATAACAATAGGAAATATTGTTGGGTCATGCTACATTTTATTTTATTTTTCATCAAATATAAACCAAGAGGTTTGATGAGGTAGGTGTGATTGATTGCTCAAAAGACATTTTTATATGTAATTCAAAGATAAATACTATAGATACATATCTTTAGAATAATGAGAAAACATGATCTTATACGGCTGAACAGGTGGATTTAGCTTAATGAGGTACATATATCCTTGCGTTGATCTTTCAATGGATCTATAGATTGATGAAAATAGTATGCATTCAATAGAAATTATTACTAAAATGCTTGAAAACTTTAAATGCAATTCCAAAGAACAAAAAAAACTAAAATCTTTCATTGACTAATTAGCATTCCACTTTTCGTTTTAACTGTTTGTGTTACTGTTGTTATCAATTGCTGATCAGCTCTCATTAAATCCATATATTTTTTAAATCGTCTGCCACGTTGCTTCGTCCACAATTTCCAATCGTTCATAGCCAGGATTTGTACTACATTTTGCATTGCACTTGATAACGTAAATACCACTGTAAATAATGATGTATCATTTGATAGAAATGAATTAGTATCAAATAAATTATTTTGTTGATCTTTGCTTAATAATGAACAATGTATAATTGGATATTGTGAATTCAATGATAGACACATAGCAAGGCCATTGTTTATATTTCCGAGTGTAACAAAAACAGTTGGTTGACTATGTTCATAGGAATAATTCGATAAAAATTTCAATACGGTTTGTGTCGATTTAAAAATTGATAAAATACGAATGTCACAATGAATATTGTATATTTCATTAAGCGTTGTTTTGATTTTCAGTCCATATTCAACATCATGAACAGATGAACAAACAATAATACAACGATTTGTTTTTATTGGTAAAGAATACGTTAGTGAATAGAGACTTGGAGGTAGTTTGTCCTTATCTGTATGATTGTAATCATATTCAAACGTGGTATTTTTCGATTTTTCTTCAATACTTTTAGAATTTGAAATAACTTTAGTTGTTAATGATTTGTTAGTACTTAAATCAAGTATATGTCTTAATGCATTATTTATCCAAACAAGGTTTTCTTGAATTGAATCCTTTCGATTCAAGATAACTTTTTCGGTGGGCCGTAATATATGCCATGTTTCAACATCGTATGTATTTGCAACAACAATTTCTTTGGCTGCTGTTGTTGTTATACCGAATTCGATTTTTAAATCTATAAGTTGACAATTTTTTTCAACCATCCAAACATGTTCAAGTATGTCAAATACAGCACAACATATTTCGTACATATATTCAATATCTGTTTTTGAAATTTTTGAATTTTCAATATCGATATTTGTATTCAGTAGCTGTTCGTAAGACCATACCGATGATAAACATTTATCTAAATCAGAATCCTCGTCGTCACTGAAATTTTCACGATTGGATTCAGTATTTTCATCAAGACTTCCTAATGTTAAACGTCTATAAATAATTGGATAACGCTTATAATAGATTTCCATGACTGGTGGAATAAATCGATGGCCATTTGAAATTTCCGGATTACATTTAACGTATGTTTCATTAGCTATACGCCGAATAATCCATAAAATTGGTATCATAGTACATTTTTTTGCAATAAATATATCTGGTTGTGTGTGTGAAGCAACATAAAATGTCGGTATAGATGCTTCACGTAAGATTTCATAGACACAAGTTGTTATCGATGTTGTTAATACACCTTTGCTTGTACTTTCATTGCTTGAATTTGAAGTAAGATTACGATTTTGCTGTTGATTGTTGAGTCGAAATATACTATCGACACTAGATCGACGACCACCGGGAATACTTAATGATGAAACTGATGGATCATAATAATCTTTGCGATGAATACAGATAAGATTAGGTTGATCAATTACTGAGTAAATTGTTTTAGATTTTCCATCGTATAACTTTTGACCAAGTATGCCATGTAAAGAGGACGAAGTCATTTATTGTATGAATTAATTTATCTTCTAGTTAGTATCTTTTATTTTTCGATTATCAAGTTTTGCAAGTAACCTTCGCTGCAAGTTCTATCATTTTTCTCGTTGTATTATGAGAATAATAAAGCAAACAGCTGCTGAATGCGTAGAGATAAAAGAACTTTGCCTCTCTTTTGGCTTCTCGACCTTCGCCTTAATTATGGTTGATGCGTTTTGTATAGTCGGTTAATTGATTTGCCCGTCTATGTCTCCCCATTGTTTGCCTTAACAACTAATACAACAGATGTAAACATTACAAGCCGGAAGAAAAGTCTACTTCATTAGTACTTATTCAAAATATTTCTTTCATGGTTTTGATTCTGTTGTTTTATAATACAGTTGACGCATTTGTTTCCAGACAAATAGAAAAGGTCAATACAATTAATATTTTTATCCGAAGAATTTTAGAATCATTGTTTGCTTTTTCTTAGCATAAATAGGCGTATTTTTGCTAAAGCAACAAAATAAAACATTATAACAACATTGATTAGTCTATTATCTGGTTGTCAACAGTATGTAAATGTTGTTTTTGGAGAAAAATAATTGAGAAATTGCGCAATTTTACTTTCACACTGTATGAACTACTGAAATGTGAACTTCATTGTTTTCACATGAGACAGATGAATTTAGTGCATACTCTTGAAGTTCTATTGAAAACATGACATCTGAAACAAGTCATTTTTACCAATGCCATTTGTACAATAGGACTTTATTTATGCAACCTTATCTTTTTGATTAGAAAAAAGAACACAATATTCATTGATAGTTCACTATTTTCGAAATAAATGAAGATGTTCAATTGATACGATTCACATTTACATTCATCAATTCACTCGTGATTTCTAGAAGAAAAACATACAAGGTCAAATACGAGTTTTCTTAATAGACAATTACATACAATCATAAGTGTAGCAATTAGTAAAATTGCTTTTGTTTCCACCGGCAAATTGTGTGGAACTAAAAAAACAAGTAATATGAAATAAATCTGCAAAAAAAACGTTGATCAATTGATATACTTTTCATAGCTACAGCATTTCCATATTCTGACCTTTCCAGATCAGTCGAAAATGGATAAATATGTCCAATATTTTTTGTTTCATCCGTATCGAATATCGAAACTTCAGGTACACGATGCTGAATCTTACTTCTTATATGACTTTTACGTAATGCTAAACTAGCGATATGTTCACGTACACCATCATATACATCATACCATATTTTTCCAAACACTAATCTATAAAAGAAAACACTAGACGACAAATAGCAAGATATATAGAAGAATCTTTTTTTTTGTAACCGGTTGAAATTGAAGTTTTTAGATGAATCACTTAGAGAACAGAATCTACCGATTCTGGACTTTTTCAGTTTGTTGATATTTCATTATATTGAGGTCTACTAATAATTTTCCCAGTACCTCTATGACTATCTGATTCCAACTAATACAATAGCTTGCCTCAAACTGAAGGACACGTCAGTAATCACTTTCACGGTATACACATTAAAAACAAATATTCTGCTGTACAAAGTAGAGAAGGATAATACTATGAAAATATATTACAGCCAAGGTTAACATATACAAAAATTTTTATTTGCACATCCCTAATACAATAGAATTATTCAAAGCATGCTTTTTTTTTAAATTTCTTGATGAGCAAAAGTACAATGAGCTATCTGCTTGATCGGAAGAATTTATTTCATATGTCTTCGAATAAGTTTATTATTTATTTCTTCTATATTCATGTATTTATTTAATTAGTATATTACTTGTCGATAGCTTTCGCTGTAATTTAGAAAAAAAAGCCTCGATTCCAATCAATATGAAATAGCGTACCTTTTCTGAATAGATCCTATTGATTGTGTTCCGTTTATTTCTCCTGTTAAGCATCTTATTTCTTGTTTATAACATGCTTTGAATAAGAGAGGAAGACGCTTATGATAGAATTCGATCACTACCTGAAATAAAACAAGAAACTTCCGTAAGAACTGAATCAAATTTTATATTTACTTCTTTGGTTATGGGATTTAATAACACAATTCTTCGGTTAAATATGGAAGGTAGTCTGGACGAAACTGCTTTGTCGCCTATGAAAAATACGGAGTTATATTTTGAAATGAAAATATTTCATTTTATTGTCATACCAATTCGATAATCAAATAAAGTTTTATTTACTCGCGATACGACTCTTCCACATTCTACTCCTCCGATGTCATAATCATCCGCTTAGATAATAAAAATAATTAGATCAAATGGTTAATTGAAACTAGTTGCTACTAATTTTACCAAAATTTCGAGGTTTAATAATTAACTCTTCTTCATTATTTAATATTAACAATAATTGTGCTGTATCGATCTTATGAATCTCTTCATTAGTTGCCATCAAATTGGTTTTATTCGACGTCAAATAATAGCTTAGCGTGTCTCTTGAGTTACGTTTATAAATATCGATTAATGAAACGTGAGTAATATAGAGTCTCACAAGGAAAAAATGAATCAAAACGCACTCGTGCATAACTAATCGTTGTCATGTGTACAGTCATTGTTTGGAAATTGGATTTCTCCAAGGTAAAGTAAGTACGATCAAAGCAAATTGACAGATGTCAATGATGAGATATTATCTATAATATTTTAATTTAAGATTTTTATCGAAATATGCTCATTAATGTTACTTGGTGAAACAGGAGTATTATAATTTTCACGCACGAAACTGTACCATGAAGATTTGTCTAATGAGAACGCTTTATTTTAATATTATTACAACAAAATGTTTTGTAAGTATATTTAACGAATTGTAATTATTTGATTTTACTTGACTAAGAAGTATGTATTGATTCTAAAGTCATTCACCTGGTTCGCAGTATCACACCGTTTATATAATGAACTGGGATCGGCTGGCTCATACACCATAAAAGCTTATTTTCTTCGGAAGGCTGTAGAAAAGATAAGAGTAATTTTATAAATTTATTCCTAAGCTGTTGCGAGAAAGAATTTGATCTACTAAATTATTGAATGAAAGAAGGTTCTCAAGTATTTGTTTGGAGCTTCTGTGAGAACTACACGGGTATATCAAGTTATGTACTATGATTTCAAATAACGAGAAATTAGCGACTGAGGTTGCTCCGATAAAAATTGCAAGTTAAACTATTTTTCGATTAAGACTAAGAGAAACAACATGTGAACTGTATCGACCCCAATAAAATTCAGCAAAAACTGCCTGAAACTCGAAAAATACAGTCTTATCTAGTGGAAAAAACATGTTTTCAAAAAATCTGTAGTTGTATCAGCACTGTTCCATGACGTAAAAAAAGTACTGTAAAAAAATCACGCCAATGGATAAGCATCAAAATCGATAATACATTTTCCAAAAATGAATGTTGTCTACTGAATTGACTTTAAATTCATCTACTAAACCACCTTATTGAAGGTACGCAGCTAATTCAGATCGGAAAACTCATTCGGGCACTTCCGACTCCTTTCTAACTATTCAAATGACTCAGAAGAAGTTTCCCCCCTTTGGTAGAAATTTATTTTTCACGAGTTTACGAATTATTTTTAATCAAATTTGTAGCAATTTACTTGAAAAAAATAGAACTATGCGCGATGAAAAATATATTAGTTTGGCCTCATGTGGTAGACTGACAGTTCTGAATGATGCCATAACAATAATTTGACAAGAGAATTGATTTGTGTTAGGTCCAATGACATTGGAATGTATAATATGTCAGCGTTCATTTTTCGAGAGAAGTCATCAGTTCTATTCTTGACGGATGACAGCAGTTGTACAAAAAAGAAGAAGAATTAACACCGATATACTTATATAAAATGTTTGAGAAAAGCATGACAAACAAAGTAAGGCAAGTATCATACTGAGATTCATCTGATTGCTTTATCCAAGAAGATACTACATATTATTTTCAAGAAATTCGATAATATAATTGCCTCAGTTCATTTAGAGATATTTTTACTTAACGAATTGAATCCTTCAATTTCTTATTTTAGAGCCAATGATTATGGAACGTACACTAATAGTAACAAATTATTCTAGAGTCAAAAGCTTCAAATTCCAATCTGTTGAAACCGCGATTGGACGTAATTAATAAAAACTAGAAGATTTATAAATAGACTTGTTTGTTTAACTGAAGCACCATTTTGAAATAAAAACTTTAAGATCTTTCTCTTATAGATACATGAAAAAATAGATTAAATAATGAATTGACATGTGCGTGCCATCATTTTTTCGAGAATCTGCAAGATTTTAGTATTGATTTCGTATGGACTACGATCTGTCAAAATTGATTAATTCAAGGTTGATTATCAGCTACTTTTTTTTCTTATTTAATAGTAATCCAGTTATGCGTCAATTTATGTGCTACTGACGGTTGTTTTTCTTTCCTTGATAGTCGTCACGAACAACTGTCTACTTTCATTATATTAGTATTGATTATGTGTTATTACTAATAACACGATATGCTAGTTTTAAAAGTAATGCTATGTAGCTAAATATAACACAGAAAAGCATGTCTGCTTCATCGAGCCAATTGTTAAATATAGACTGTTGCTTCTTGTTTTTTCAAATTATATCTGCGTGATTTAATGGTTAGTTAACAAATTAAGAATTGTTTTCAAACGTAGAACCTAGTCTATTTTGTTATAGACAAAAAAATTGGAATTAACGAACGAATAAAGATGCTATATATAACTAATAAATTTTCACTGAGAAAACAAGTACAATAAAAAAAATATTTTCTCTTTGATTAAAATGATTCTTTAAGAAATAGATTGTCAACAATCTTGTGAACAACTAATAGTTTGGATAAAACTGAAAACATAAATATTTCTTTGAGTTTCTCTTCAAATTAAGATTTGAGTTTTAGCCAATATTTATTACAATCTATTTTCTAAATTATCTTTGATTATGAAGTTCAATAATTGAGATGATTCGAAGAATCTAGTGTAGGTTGATATCGGAGATGAATTAAAGTGTTCACAAACATTGGACTGAATGACTTGATAAATGTGATAAATTAGTTTAGGAGAGTTAAAGCAGGTAAATTGAAAACATGTCTTTTAATAATATCGAAAAAAGGAAGTTGATAAGCTAAGTAACATATTCTTTAAAAAATATATCAAAATGTATTAACATAAAATTGGATCTGTACTGAATTTTTCTTTTTCTTATTCTATAGATTTGTGTGTTTCATATTTTCATTCTCACTAGAGCTACATTTTTGTTGGTCTTATCAATAATTAAGCAAGGTAACAATTAGATGAATTGTTTTATATTTCTGTTCGTTTCAACAACATATTTCACTGTAAAAATAATAGACAAATAGGAAATAATCATACAAGTCTATACCAAGAAATATGAATAACTCTCTCTCTCTCTTTCTCTCCTTCGCCGTCAAGTTCAATCAGCTGAATAGTAATAACTAGAACTATATGATTTGCTTAAATAGATTCTAGTAATTAAAATATGACTAGAATACGAGTAGAACTGTACAAGAAAGCCATAGTTATCTAGCTTTCTTTTATATTGGTCGAGTTTCTATGAAAACAAAATAAATAGAATTATAAACATTCTTATTCTCGTACGCCAATTCTTCATGTAAGAATGTTCTTTTTTCCAAAGTAAACATAATTTCTTATGTAAATAATGCTACCAATTGTAGTAGTGCATTCCATATGGTTTGTATCGTACACAACGTGATCATTCTTTTTTGATGAAATGACAGCAAGTAATTAAAAGAAATTTTGAATTACTGAAATCGTAAAAAAAAGATACTTTTTGTTGCTAGGAAATTTTCAATTCTTTTTTGGTTGTGCATCGATATAATGAGAGATGATGTTAATGATATAGCAAATATAAGACTAAGATTAGAAATTTTACTTTGGAGATATAGTTATAAAGAACGAGATGCACCCCGTACAAATCCATTGTAATCGCTTGTTTATAAATTCCTGTGACATCAAACCTTTTTGACTCAAATGACGCACAGTTAGTAGTATTTTTTTACTTTAATAGGCATCAGTGATACCAATCTTAAAATTCTCGACGAGCAAGTCTTGATCTCGATGAGTCATTTGTAAGATATTTCGTTTGTCAGTGCCTGGATGAGAAAAATAATTGCGATTTTTTGTTATACAAATTAAAAGTGAAACAAATTGTGTAGAGAATGATACGTCTTCGTGATCTCTATTAAGTCTAGACAATGTCGACAGGTGTTTCGTCTAATTTTTAAATAGAACATTTTGAGAAAACTATTTTAGAGATTTTTTTAATATTGATCTAGTGTGATCAAAAAATGCATATACAAACCTCTAGAGTATAGTCTTTTTTTTTGAAAATCAGCTGCACTGCTACTATGTACAATCAAAAAACAAAACTTCTTTCCAGCTCTGTGTTTAAATTAGCTAGGATTTGCATTTTGTACAGATTGTTGATTTTTTGAATCCTATAAATGTTTGCTTCGGAACGATTTTCTTCTTTAAAGCACTTATTTGGATACCCAACATGATACGACTACGAAAAAAATCAAAATTGAAGCTATATGCTAGATTTTTGTAACTCATGTGTGTTTCGTTTTACATCATTCCCAAACAATAAAGCCTTTCTTTCATTGCAATAGCTAACATTTCATTATGATTTATAATAATGTGGTACATATTTGTTCTTTATCTCAATAATGTAAGAGTAAAAATATTTTATTATATTCTCTATGTAAGCCAGATATTGACTAGAAAAACATATTCGCCGATGCTCAAGATGAAACCTAGGATTTAACGATTTTTTTTATGAGAATATCAATCATCGATTCCAGAGATAAGCAAGTCAGCGTTTTTTCGACTCAAGTCAAGTCAAGTCATAGCTAAGCCAAAGAAAATTCCAAGTCAAGTCAATTAGAGTCATAATTCATTCAAAAAATCATCAGGTGAAATCATTTTTTGACTCGACTTGCCCATCTTTGATTTATTATTTGTATTTTTCTTCTACATTTCAAATTAGAGTTCAAAAATTCAATTAATAAAAGTTCTCTATACATATAATTTTTGACTTGACTTGAATTTCTCTGTACGACTTGTTGCAAGTCAAGTCAAGTCATTCTGAAAATTTTCAAGTCAAGTCAAATCAAGTCTGACTTGACTTGACTTGCCCGTCTCTGATCGATTCTATTTTCAACGATTGCAACTTCATTAGGTTTTTTTCAGCATTATATTAAGATTTCAATAACAATTTATTGTTACTTCATTCGCTTTAATACATGCTAATGATAGTAGCAAGGAATAATAATTTAAATTTATTTTTACAAAATAATTCGAAATAAAAGATTAAGGGAATATTATCTTTGATCAGTGAAATAAATGAAATGATCAGTACTAAAATGATCAGTAATTAATCTTATAGTGATCAGTTTATTATATATAATTACCAGTAAAAAAGATAAAATTGATCAGTAAAACATAGAAATTTGGGTGTGGGCGTGGGTGTGACCTTTCTGCTCATCCACACTACCCCCACATCCTTGTTGGAATTCTTTGATTTCCATTTATTCCATCATTTTCTTCCAGAACCTCTTTGTCTGATGTATCACTTTCGTATTGAATAACTTGCACGACTTCCATCTTTTTTACTCGTTGGTGCTAAGCTGAATGTGAAAGAAGGGAGCTAAGTAAGAGTACATTTATATATGTGGTACTTATCAGCTGTACGATATATAGACCAAAAGAACAAACATGAAAAAAGGTAAATCACCGTATAACACATTTCAATTTTTGTACTGATCCTGTAATCTAATTTACTGATTTTCAAATAATATATCAATAAATCGAAGTATATTAATAACTGACCACACAAATAATGTACTGATCATTCATTTATTTTACTGATCATTTTACTTATTCTACTGATCGCTTAAATGATAGCCTTATACAAGTAATAAATAGCCATTCGTTGATCAAAGATATGGATGATGAATATCAATTCTATCATCAATCTGGTTCATTTGCTCGTTTTCTTGCTTCATGGTTATCATCTAATAGTTTATTATCAAAACGAATTTCTCAATTAGCAAAAGGTATAGTTCAAGCAGGATTTTGGCGATTGAAAGAAGTTGATATAGTGAACGCATGGCTTACTGATCTTCGCTCAATTGGTTATATATTTCCATTGATTGTTACATCGCCTTCATCATCTCGAACGTCTATAAAAGAAAAACGAATAGCTGTATGTGTAACAGGTATTGTTGAATGTATTCAAGAGGGTTGGGTTCCAACGTATAATATGATTCTTAATTCTCTACAAGGTGATATTGATACATTTGTTTTTCTTTCATCATCTCACAAACTAGAAACGATTCGATTCAGTGTTCATTCGAAAAATATACGTTCCTATTTAAATTCTACAGCTACCATAATTTATGACGATCGAATTATTGATCCACAAATACCATCGAATTGTACTATATTCTACTAGCCAGATATGCCGTACTATCAACAAGTACGGGGATTTGCCGAATGTTTTGCTTTGGTGAAGGAGTATGCAAAGAAAATGAATATTCGATATGAATTTTTAATACGAGCTCGACCTGATTCAGGTCGTGCTGCAGTTAATCAAAAGCTAGAACCTCTAAACAACTTAACTATAGTTATTCCAGATCAACATCATTTTGGTGATTATAATGACCGGTTTGCTATTGGTTCCACATCTATGATGGAAAAATATACGAGTCGATGGCATAACGTTAGTGCTTGTTATATAAAAAATATACATGCTGAACCATTTCTAAAGCTCTTTTTAGACCAGTTTGATACTAATGTTACCTCAATGAAAAGATTAACTTATGAACAATTACCACATGGTTGTGGTCAGTGCCATTAGAGTGAAGAAAAGATAACATTTTTATTCAGTCGAATTTCTTAATTGTATGTTCTCTTTTTTTGTGTAGAAAATTTGGAATACTATTAACATTTCTGATCATTCTATGGATATTATTTTTCTGAACAATGTTGTTATTATAATTTTAGTAGAAAGTCAGTGTTGTGTATTTGTCTCATTGATTACACATGATACTTATATTTTAATAGATCGTTTGTAAATTTATTGTATCAATATATTTTAGACACCCTTCTTCTTTTGATATCACAGTCTAGAGTGAAAATAATGTACAATTTGATTACTGTAATCGTATAGTATTTTTTTCTGATGGATGCCGTGACCTTTTTAGCAAAACTGGTTGATGAGTTTATATCTAGATATGTGCATTATGATAGATTTTTAGTTAGTATAACTGTTCGTGATCTGTTGGGAATTTTTAATTTACTTTCATCATTAAATAAGAACATCGCATTTATGGATTTCTATGCGCGATTTAAATTCCAGACTTTTGCCATCGATGTATCTTACGATGGAAACAAATAAGCTGTTATCGCTAGTTTGTGTCTGTATGTATAGTTTAGAGCTGCAATCCGGATAGATTTGTTCTTGAAGGAAGCTATGATATTCATTTGAAGACTAACGCAAAAATTTGAGTATTTTTACAGTAATTATCCAAAGGTTTGAAATAAATCGTTTTTAGACATTCATAGTTCATTTTGATAGATATTATCCACAAAAATCTTAGCTAGAAGAAAAGGAGATCAATGATTTGGACGACATACCTCCTCACTCTTATTCTGTACTTTATAACTTCGATTCAATTTTTGATCTACAGTCTCAATTATTTCTCACCAAATTTGTACTTTATTAGTTGTTGATACATATAACGAATTTCATTGATTTTGAGGAATTTTCATATGCTTCAGATAAATCGATGATAACAGTTAGAACAGTTGTTTCGTTTTCGTTTTTCATTTAGTTTCAATAAGATTTATCATTCTTCATCTGTCATAATCAAAACAAAAGATATTTCTTTGCTACTGTTCTTTCTCAAAATAGCGTGATATTATTTCAATTCGCTTATAAATTTATATATAATTACATGCAATATACTGCCTATCAAGTATTTGGTTTCTGTCATTTCTAACATGCATATATATCTACCTGTGAGTATGCCTTTATTTCGTTCTTTAATGTTATTAGATACTACTTCTTTCATTGCTTTTTCTATGCAAATAATAAGCATTCATGTGGAACGATAACTCATCTTAATACACAATCGATCACATGTTTTTCTCCCTCAACATACCATTGGTAAATTGTGACAGAAAATTTATAAGAACGAAATCGTACTTTTAAAAAATGCTTCTTCCAATAACGACAATTCTATTTCTAATACTCAAACCCTGTTCAATCCATTCAACAGATTTATTTGATAGTAACGAAGATTTCGGTGTTTTGTTTTTGTTAAATATATATCATTGATATTTTTTCTAGTTCAACTCACTCAAACTATTTTATGTTCTCACTTTCCTTTGGTTTCTACTATTAACGATTCAAGTTTACAATGTGCTCGTTTACGTATGAATGAGAATGTTCAATTATCGGATTTCAATATTTTTAGTTCTTCGCCAATTATCCTGTTCATTACAGTCAATCAATCGTCACCGAATTCATCACCACTTAATCTTATTATAAATTTTACCGAATCATTAGACTTTTCATTGCAAGTCAATGAGATTCATTTAGGTCTCTTGGTTATTCAATCTAATTTTATCATAAATAATCAATCTGAATTAGTCTATTCGCCCCACGATATTCCTATATTAAATTGGAAAAATTCAAATTCGAATGAATATGATCTTGTTGGTATTGTGCACCTTGACAATAATGAAAATGAAAACAACTTAAATATGTGTCAATGGACGTTTGATCGATGGAATCAAATATTTAATGGTAACTCTTCAAATAAATCATCGTTTGTGCATATTCTTACAACAGAAAATACTAATCTAATGTTCACATTAATGAATCCAACAAATCTTCTCCCACCGGCTCCTTATTTAAGCATACTTCATTGTTTTCCATATCGATTAGAAACAACTGAATTAATTCTTGTCCTTTGTTCTATGTTTATTTTCGTCGTTTTTCTTAGTATGTCTATTTTTCTACATTGTCGTAAAGAAGAATATCAATTTTTTTCGAAGCTTGCGATGAAAAAAAATTAGTACAGAGACAACTATAATAAAAATATTTCAAGTCGACAAATATATTTATATTATTGTTTGAAAATTATAACTGCATTCTTCTGAATTAAGTTCAGCTTATAATTTTTAACGTACATCTACTCTCGAAATTCATCAGTTATACAGTTCTCAAGACTAAAATCATCGAAACTGTTGAAGCGCTTGTGACAATAAGATTGTTTGTCTTCTTCCAAAATAGTTTAGTTCTTTGTGTTGTAATTATACGCTAGAAAGTTTTTACTGACGCAGGTCTGATGAAGTTTAATCTAAATTGTTCACAATATTGGGCTAAATCGAAAATAGTTTTGATGTTTGAGTAAAATTTTGAGAAGTCAAAACAAAGCTAATATTCTTACAATAAAATCAAAATCTTTTTCTAAGAATGCAATCGCTTTTTTTCTCTTTCGCAAATGAATTTTTCGTAAACAAGTATGAAAATAACATTTCACAAGAATAGAGCTTTTGTCTCATTATTGTTATCAAACGATCTTTTTTACGTCCTTCGGATTTCATGCTGACTACACCTTAAGTGCAGATAGTTATATGACGTAATTGCATATGTATTCTCTCACTTCGGTTCTGATCACTATTATTATTGATCTTCACTCATATGAATGGTAAGATAAAGATAAGGATCAATGTTGTACAAATATTCCTATCTCTTAGACACTGAACAGCTGGTAATAAATGATTTATTAGAAACTCTAGTAACGCCGTAGGGGTTTTAATAGAAGTTCTTTTTATTAATTTATATGTTTAATGAAGTTTACAAATATCAGGAATCAGTTTTCTTATATAAAACTACAAAATCAAGGTATTATTCAATCATTACATGCCTTTAGACTTATAGAACAACGTGAACATGCTCTGATGGTTAATGAAATCAATTGCTCTGTGCAATCGAGAAAAAATTAGGCCAAAGAGAAGATCCTAAAGTGATGCATTCAATAATTGATTTAACTATGAATCCAAACAATAATTTTGGCTTTCAAATGAAATTATGTTTTACAGAATGTTTTCTCACTCCTTACTACAGTAAATGCCGACATTATTTTTTGTTATTCATCAGTTTTTGTTGAAAGTGTTAACTTTGAAAAATTTCTATGCAAGACAAAAATTATACCAAAGATCGCTACTCTTCGGTGATCTTCAAAAACATTTTCATCTATAATCATATATTAATTTTCAATTAACATGATATTTATGAATTTCATAATGATGATCATGCTGCAATTAGTATATGATTTTTCAGGATTTTTTTGTGTACTCAAAAAGTGAGTACACTCTAGATTCGGTCAGTGTGTCCGACCGTCCGTTAACACGATAACTTTTGAAGGACTCATCCAATTGTCATGAAATTTTGTACACAGAATGATCTCATCAATGTCTCAGTCAAGCTCGAAGATGAGAGGAACCCGTAAGAAATGACTGAGTTATCGAAAAAATTGTCATTATTGACCAGATCATTCCTGAGAGTGGGGAGGGGGTGGGTACAGTGATTTAAAAAAAAACTTTTTTTCAGAATTATTCACAACATGTATATAAGTCGACTCAGTTTTTAACGCTGATTCCGAATCTGATATTAGTTTTGAACCAAATCGTAGCTTTCTAACAAAACCTCGCCTGAAAAATGTCTAAAAATGCACAAACGCTGCATCCAGAAACCAATTTTACCTAGATATGTCTCAGATGACCAGCAGTTTTGAGGTATTCCAAATGCCTGATTTTGTAGCTAAGAAAAAATATTATCGAAATGTAAAAAACCCGAACTCTATAGCTATTAATATTGGCGATTTATTAGGAAAATACTGATGCCTGTATCTATCATATATCTCTTATAGATTCATGAGGTTGTTTATGATCGTAATCCCGCTAGATACAAACGCAAATCCATTCAAAAATAACTCTTCTTACCCAGTTTTCCAAACTAAACACGAATCTGAACTCAATTTCTGTGATTTCCAACGATATTATATCACTCTGAGACTAGAGTCAGTGGTCATCGGATAGGGTCGCATACAGCGTAGTCCATGCTAACTTAGCACGTCTGTATTTTCTCCTTACAATTTAGTGACAAGGGATGTATCTTGATGAGATCTATGTCTTATAGAATAAATGCGAAAACCTCGGATTTAAATCCGATGTTTCCACATTTATTTTTTCAAGAATCTCTTAATGAAGGCAAGCAAAAAAGTCAAGTATTACTTCATTCTCTTTCAGTCAAATGTAAAACAATGTTTTTAGTTAGAAAAAAAACGAGAATAGTCACGTTCAGTATCTTAAATTGACGTATGTTATTCTCTATGAATGTTATTGTTTGAGTCTTCTGTCCAGTTTTTTTTTCTGTATTCAACTACTCATCACTATGAATTTCGAAATAGGATTTTTTAATATAATTTAAAACTCTCATCTGGTTTACATAATATTCGATCATTCAAACCTTTATAGTAAAAGTTTTTTGAAGCGACTCTTATAACAAAACTAGATACATACAATTTACTTGAGCTCATAGAAGCACAATGCATGTAATAATACTCTGACATTACGTTCATTTTGAAATTCACAGTAGACTTGAATGTTCGACGAATGATTTTTAATTGTTTTATTTGCTCTCGATATGCACGATTAAAACTAGAACTGTCATTGTACTCTATAGGATATGTTTATAAATCTTCAATGGACAATTATAAATTCTCTTGTTTGATTGAAGCATATGATTAATCTGTGATGTTTAAAATTTGTTTTATTCTTTTCTTAAAATTCTCTTCATCAGTGGATGTTAAACACTCAAAAAATGAACTAATACAATACAATACACCATAACAACAGAGAAAGAAAGAAAAAATTATTTAGTTCTTTAATCAACTTCCTCCATGCGTGAAGCTTCAGCCGAAACAGCAGCTGTGTTGTCTCCACCGGTTTCAAGTGGTGGCATATCTGAAGTTGAATCTCCAGCAGCTGTTTGACTTTCAGTAGCATCTTCTTCATCGATGCCTAAACCAAGTTTAATCATACGGAATATACGATCGGCATGTTGTTGTGGTAATTCAAGAGTAAAACCACTAGCCAAAAGTGATGTTTCGTATAATAATGTGACTAAATCTTTAACTGATTTATCATTTTTATCTTGATCAACTTTTAATTTAAGCGTCTTGATGATTGAATGATCAGGATTGATTTCAAGATGTTTTTTAGCAGCCATATAACCCATGGTTGATGTATCACGTAAAGCTTGAGCTTTCATGATACGTTCCATAGATGCTGACCAACCATATTGTGATGTAACTAGAGATACGAAAACAAATTAGATGTATAAAAAAACGAATTCTCACATTTTAAAACTTACCAACACAACATGGTGATGAAACAAGTCGATTGCTAACAACAACTTTTTCGATTTTCTTGTCCAAAATATCTTTCATTACTTTACATAGTGTTTCATATTTCTCTTTGTCTTGTTCACGTCTAGAAAGAAAAACTTATTATTTGATACGATAGAAATTTTAAGTTAACATACTTTTTCTTTTCTTCTTCATCTTCTGGTAATTCTAAACCTTCTTTGGTGACAGAAACAAGTTTCTTGCCATCGAATTCTTTCAATTGTTGTACACAGTATTCATCAATTGGTTCAGTCATATAAATGACTTCAATGCCACGCTTACGTACACGTTCAACAAAGGCAGATTGATCAACAATTTGTCGAGATTCACCAGTGATATAATAAATATCTTTTTGAGTTTCTTTCATTCGTGAAACATAATCTTTCAATGATGTTACTTCATCACCAGATGTTGATGTGTGATAACGCAAGAAACCGGCAAGTTTAGCACGATTTGTTGAATCTTCATGAATACCTATAGAATGGAGAGAGAAAAAAAATATACTTAGCATAATGTTCTATCCACTATATACTACATACCAAGTTTAAGATTACGTGAAAATTGTTCATAAAACTTCTTGAATGATTCTTTATCTTCGGCAATTTCTTCCATTAATTCAACACATTTCTTGACTAAATTCTTACGAATAACTTTTAGAATCTTATTTTGTTGTAACATTTCACGTGAAATATTTAATGGTAAATCTTCTGAGTCAACAACACCTTTAATGAAGTTCAAATATTCTGGCATTATTTCTTCGCAATTTTCCATAATAAATACACGACGAACATATAATTTAATTGAATTTTTGGTTTTACGATTTTCAAATAAGTCAAATGGTGCACGTTTAGGAATAAACAATAAAGCACGAAATTCAAGTTGACCTTCAACACTGAAATGTTTAACAGCTAAATGATCTTCCCAATCGTTGGTTAATTGTTTATAAAATTCAGCATATTCTTCAGTTGAAATATCTTCCGGATTTCGTGTCCAAATTGGTTTTTGTTTGTTAAGTTCTTCTTCATCGGTGTATTTTTCTTTTATTTTCTTCTTCCTATAAAAAATGAAAAAATTATCCTAATGACTAAAAGAATCTTGAGAAAAATAATTATTTACTTTTTCTTATCTGTATCTTTCTTTTTGTCGTCATCTTCATCTTCATCGAGTTCTTCAACTTTCTAGAAAAATAAAACTATGAATGAAATGACAAAATGGCATCGACTTTAGGAAACGTACAGTTTCATCTTTTTTGGTTTCTTCTTCATCTTTCTTTTCTTCTTTCTTTTCATCTTCAGCTTCATCATCGGATATTTCCTTTTCACGTTCTTTTTGTACAAGTAATTTGATTGGATAACCAATAAATTGTGAATGTTTCTTAATAACTTCCTTGACACGTTTCTCTTCAAGATATTCAGTTTGATCTTCTTTAAGATACATCACAATCTTTGTACCACGGCCAATGGGTTCACCAGTTGTATCACGTTTAATTGTAAATGAACCACCAGCACTTGATTCCCAAATGTATTGTTCATCATCGTTGTGTTTTGATGTAACTACTACTCGATCAGCTACTAAATATGATGAATAAAAACCAACACCAAA